TTTTTTCCTATGCTATATAGTAGGATCAATTACAGCAGTTACTCAAAAAAAAAAAATCCACAACAAACATCAACCATAAACCACATTACCCTAAGGATGGGCTAAGCAAACACAAGCCCTTCTATCACTTCTGGGATAACAGTCCCAATTGAATGCCATAGATTAAATTATTTTGATGTTCTGAAATGTGCTGGTTTGAGGGTTCCCAGAGGGCAGAGGCAACATGCATCAAAAGACAAGAAATACATCTGTCTTTCAGCTAAGAAAAAGACGTCTCTTTCTGTCCTTCCCACCATATTTATGCAYGGGTTTGTTTTTTTTTTCCATACATGGCAAACTGGGTATCACTGTTAAGGTAATCTATTAAAGCTGACTTTTAACCTATGTAAAAACAGATTTCCACTCTAATTTGTGGGAGGGCAACAAAGGTATCAGAATTTAAGAGTTCCAAACAGGAAAAGTCACTTGACATTAAGAACATGTCCAGCAATACAAATCCCTTAAAATATTTCCCAAATAGTTACTTCACTGGGAACTGCCCTGCAAACATTTTCATTCCAAAGGAAAAGAGGCCTTTTTCTAATTTAGTGTGGTACACATGTAGTATATTGATACACTCACTGGAGAGAAGTCTCTTTCCAGAAAAGATTCTTCACCTACGAGTTCATATATAAAAAACTACTCAGTAACAACTATTTCAGCAATGATACAAGGATAATTTTCACTTGAGTTGATGAATAATACTGAATAATAGGCCATGACATGTCCACAAAATGGAAAAAAAAACCAAATCACACTCAAAATTTCACAACTCTGACCTTGTATTTTCCTCCAGCCTGTCACTATTGGTGTTCTATGGTTGGGCTGCCTGAAGTATGTAAGAGCAGATTATAGCAATCTGCTTCTGCAGGARACTAATAAGAGTAGCAGAAACTAGTAGGCAAATCAATACCTACTTCCCACATTAACTTCTTAAGTAAAATAATATGAAGACATCAGCACAMGAACCCATGTGAAGCAAGTAATTTTGAGAATTAAATTATATTAACAAACAGCAACTCTAAACACATTTTATGGGTGCTAAGGAGAGAGCTGCTGCACCTACAAATTTGACATTAAATGAATTTTCAATTAAAATTAAAATCTGCTGTAATATTTACAAAATAGAGAATTWAAAAAAAATTAATTGCAGAAAATGTTTTAAAGTTTATTTATTTTCACCTTCCTCTGTTTTTTTGAACAGACAAAAGAAATGTGCACTGGAAATATGTACTGATAGATGTGCTGGCACAAAAAAATGCCAAGTCATAACCTGTGGCAAAAAAAAAAAAAAAAAGTAGAGGAAGTACTGTATTACAGTAGATTGAAYGACTGTTCTCTTCCTTCTTGTAGTAGAGAGTTAAAGCGCAGTTTTGCAGAGATACACATTTGTGATCACTTTAAACTCCATGTTTTAGATGTAAAATAGAGATAACTCAACTTTCCTATCTTTGTGAGCTGTTTTGAGACTAACAAAAAATGAAGTCACAAACTTCAGTTTTCTATAGGTAATTTTTTTAGTCAGTGAATCCTTTCTCCCATCTCATTATGTAATTCAAAGACATGTTTCTTGTCATTTCATATCTCAACAGTACTCTGATACTACTTCTTTCCCACCAACACTCCACTCTACTAGCACAAACACTGAAATTACCCTTTTTACTAACTTGTCTGCATGCCTTTTCCTTTGTATTAGATATGCTCCAATATTTCTCCATATTTCAGCTCCTGTTGAAAAATTACCTTTGCATTTCTTCCACTGGAATTTTTAGTTGACTTACACTAACATGCATGCTAACTTTAAAACTCACAAGTGTGCATTTTCTTCTGTATAGACCTGACAAATCATTACCTCCTTCATYCTTTCTCTACATTGCATAATCCAAAGAATTTGTGTTTCTGTATTTTCCATATGATTCTAAACTTTTAATATTTTCTGTCTGCAAATCACTTCACCCTGATGGAAAGCTATGCTTCAAACAAACAGCTCCTGCACAGAGGAATGCTCTAAACACTGCATTGAAAAAAGCAATTGCATACAATCGCGCAATTTTGTAATGGAAGTTTCTATTCTGTATGATTTTTTCCAAAGCACTGATTTTCCCCTTTGGAAATTAGTATGTCAGACGTAAACAATGTCAGACGTAAACACCGCAAAAGGAAAATGCAGAAAATACGACATCAATAACAGAACTCTTTCCTGATTGACATTTCTCGTAACAAGGAGAAATGACCAGGTGGTATAAACTCTAATTTACTGTACTTTCACAAGACTAGAAAGTCTAAATAGGGATTTTTTTTTTTTTTTTTTCCTTAGATTGAGAATTAGAATCTGCATAATAACCTATAAGGTCAGCTCTCATGTGTGAATCAGTATCTGTTTCATGGACACATTAGTGTATAATCTTCCACATAATCTCCTTAAAATATCTGATAATTTGAAATAAAAAGTAGGGGWAGAAGACCAAAGAGTTTGTGTTTATTTAAATCTGGATTAAATAGTCCATATTTTACTACATATTTGAGCAGCTGGAGTAAATCAGGCTGAAAAAAATTAGTATGATATGACAATGTTATCCAGTGAATTATAACAAAGTTTCAGTAAGTTATGTGAATCACTCTCTTACTTTTTTCATCACAATTCTGACAGTCTAGAATTCAACTGCAGTAATATTGTTAAAACATTAAGCTGTAATTAATAATTTTAATTAATAATCAGGTATATTGAAAAACAGTAGCATAATTAAAATAATATCTAACTATCAATAATATAAAATAAAACTACTAACCCACAGTGTGAACTGCTCCTCTATGCTTCTTTGAAATCTTGTTTGCTTTAACTATATGTAGAGCATTTTCTTTGAACTGCAGCTCACAAAGTCTTTCAAGAAGAACTGTCATTTCTTCAGTAATGGTATCCAGGTAAGTTTCATTAATAAACTTTAATGATGAAGATGTACCAATAGTTCCACTTAGTATATACAAATCCTCTTTTATCATTGTGCACAGTCTGGGTATGGAACTTTGGTAACCATGAACCACCTTATCAAAATTTGTTTCACCACAACTAGACAAAATACAGTTCTGTAGAAGATCACTAACCAGTTTATTCTGCATATTTTGATACTTCGTTAAGACTTCTGATTTGGGATAAAGAAACAGAAGCTGCTGTAGACACTGAGTTTTAAACTCCATTTGTTGTTGTAAAGCATTAGTGTTGGTTTCTTCTTGACTTTGCATTCTATTTACCAAAAATAGTCTAAGATGCAATCTCACATCATCCCAAAGAGATTTCACATCCACAGCTGAATCATCTTGAATGGTATGAAGGGAAGACGTTAACTCAAAAGACGTCCCACTTGCAGTACAGGGAAATGAGACACCACACTGACTTGAGAGATCCAGAAGGAAGTGAAGTACCATTTCTTCTTGATTTTTCTCATTCTTCAGCAAGCTTTGCTAACAAACATAAATCAGACAATATTTCACAAATTTTTGTAAATTCTGGTTCATTAGCTGAACAGCTTCATACTAGAGTAAAGACTGCATTTCCAAAACTAATTACCTTAACAGCAAATAAGATATGTAAGCAACAGAAATTATAGAACTATAGAATTATAGAGGGTGGAAAACAGAATTTATATGTGAATTAATTTTCTTGTCTACCTCTGCCAACAACTCACATTCCTCATATCATCCTTCTTATACCCAACTTCATTTTTCAATTCAATTCAAAGGAAACCCTTGGTGGCATTTTTGTTGTGGTCACAGACACACATCTTTGAAAGAGAACTGTATGAAAAATTACTTAAGATTTACACAGATAATGACAGGTTTTTCTCATAAAACCAAGCCAGTAATTGACAAAACAGTCATTTTCTATGACTCAGCAGGCAGCCATCAAAAAGGACATTCTAAGGATAGTCTTCCCAGGATTCCCTTAAAGAACTAAAACTGAAGTCTTTTTAAGAATTAAAGAGGCTTAGATCACATAGGACAGAAGAATAAGAAGCTGTGTATCCCAGTAAACCAAGATGCAGATTGATATATTAAAAATATAGGGACCTCCATATACATTGAAGCTATCTGGGTTGGAGAAAACAGTTAATAAAGCAAGTGAAACCACATGAGTGCTGYTCCTTCTTCATTCAAGCCTGAAGAGCTCTCTCTCAGTCTAGATAGTGATCTCTGAGAGGTCCTATACCTAGACTGAGAGAGCTGCTTCAGCTTCAAGAGGTCATGCAGCAAATGGCAGCTCCTCTTGCCACAGCTCAATATTATGGTCACRGCAGCAGGACTCCATGAAATTGGTGGTATTCTTGATTTTCTGAGTTTCAGTAGGCAAGTCTTAAGGGGATAAGGATCTAGAAGCCCTCTCACTTGCTCCTTCACCTCCCATTGCTTCTCTCCAACAGAGAAAAGCATTGTAGCAAACTACTCAGTTCTTTCCAGCCATTTTTCCAGTCCTTTATCTGAATCTCTGTCATGGTTTGACCCCAGCCAGCAATCAAACTGCTTGCTCACTCCCCCACCAACAGGACTGGGRAGAGAATTGGAAGGGTAAATGCCGTGGCCTTTGCTGTTTTAGAGCTGTGTGGGGGTTGGGCTTAAGAACGGCTTAGACTCAGACATAGATAAAACAGTGCAGACTCGAGSTGGGCTGACGCAACCAGCCACAGAGATGGACGGGATTGGACAGATGAAGGTATCCACCAATTAGRGACTGGAACGTGCTGTGTGGACATTGGAGAGTTTTCTGGCTATGTAATCTGTCTAGAGCTTCATTGATTGGTTTATTCTCAAAACCCGGTAAAGATAAGAGACTGTATAAAAGCATGCAGTAGCAGTCAGGGACAGGCAGAGAGAGCTGAAAATCACTACAGAAGAAAAGAGCTGCTAAATCACTATAGCTAAAAGAGCTGCTGGAAGAGAAGACTAATAAAGAAGAAACCTGGACCTGCTTGCGCCTCTCATGTGTCTTTCCTGCTTTGGGGATCTGCRGGCGCTTCGGGGCTTCCAAAAGCGTCCAAAAGGTAAAAGCTAGAAAACTCATTGCTAAGAGACAGATGGTTTAACAGGGAAAGCAAAAGCCATCCACACAAGCAAAGGAAAATCCAGAATGAATTCACTGCTTCCCATGGCAGCCAGACATTCAGTCATCTCCAGGAGAGCAAGGCCCCATCAGGCATTACTCGTACTTGGGAATATGAACACCATTGCTCCAAATGTCCCTCTCTTCTTTCTTCTCCCCACTTTATACACTGACCATGATGTCATAGAGCCAGAAAYATCCCTTTGGTCAGTTTGGGTCACCTGTCCTGGTTGTGTCCCCTCCCCGCCTCCATGCACCGCCAGCCTGATTCCCTGCCTGGCAGTATGAACAGCAGGAAAGGCCTTGGCTCTGTGCAGACCCTGCTCAGCAATAACAAAAACTTCACATTATCAACTGTGTTCAGCACAAATCCAAAACATAGCCCTGTAATAGCCACTTGAAACCAGCACAGTCTTCAAGTTATACTACACCCTATAAAACATAGCTGATAAAGAAAACATTGCTACCTTCCACCTTTAGAAATCCTGATTTATTTTATTTACAGTATTTGAAGAAATGATTAGTTTTATTTTTGTTCATATTTTGAAAGAGAGGTAAAATATTCAAGTTTGAGTATGGTATTGCATGAATATAAGTATTTCTGAATACAAAAACTATTTTTTCCCCTGTAGCAAACATTTGTCAATAGATAATTATGCTTTAGAGTCACAAAAGTTTTTAAAATCAGAACTCCAGTTCTTCGTTCTGGATGATTCAAACCAGTTCCATAGAGAGTTTAAACTTTCAGTTGCCCTCTACTCTGGAGTGTTTATTGACAAAAATTTAAAAAATAAAGCACTTTCMCTATGATACATAATTCTGAATAACAGTCAGGGAGCATAATTGTATCTCATGAAGAAAGTCTTAAAAATAATAGACTATCTATTTTTCTTCAATTTTATATCTTTATTTCAAACTAATTCTTATTAATTCTTTTGACTTAAAAGCTGGAAAGACATAAAAGACAAAATATTAAAGGAAATTATCAGTTTAATGCAATCCTATAAAAGCATGTGCATGTAACAGAAATATRAGCAACTAATTAAAATCTTAAGCCATACATATGAATATGCATATACATAATACTGATCTGATTTTCTTTTCCTATCTGCTCAAGTATTCTATAAAATATTGTGGCCCTAAAGAAAAATGTCTCAGAGTGTAAACTGAAACCATGATCACTAACAATTGCATTGAAAAGTTGACTCTTCACAAGTAGACTTCTGGACTTCAAATGCTACGGTTTTTTACCAATCATGCTCAAATACTACATTCTGAAATGCACAAAGGAAGAGAAGCTGTCAAAACAGTGCATGTAGCTGATGCCTTCAATGGYGAATCCAAATGATTTTTCAAGCAAATCCCTACTGCTGCTTTTTAAGGCAAAGCAGAAACTTTTTTTTTAATATCTAAGGATTATTTCAAGCCCTTTGTAATTTAAACCAAAGCATTTAAAATGTGAGCTTGCAAATCTCATTTTAGACTTACTGTTAGTCAGCAAGATACTACCTGAAGTGAACTGTGAAGGTCAGAAAAGTGTCATCAAGTGTCTTCAAACATTGTCTATATTGATACAGGCTTTTTGATTTAAAAATGAGCCTATACTGAAAARTATTTTGAAAAATATTTCTAAAGGTGAACCAACACTATTCAAGAGAAAAATATCTGAATTAGCATAATATCCAAAGGTTTCAGAGAAACATAAAAAGTTCCCTTATGAGCATAGAAAATTAGTGACAACACTAATATACAGAAAATCACTTCCTGATTACCTACTGCACTACTGCCTAGTACTGGCTACTACCTACTACATTAACAAGCAAGTACAGTAAGATGAAGGCTTTATTAAAAAAATAATTAGTCATTATTTTAGCAGGAACAGAATGTAAGGACAATATATTAGTGCACATATTCAGCTTTTGAATATTTAGTTAAAAGTCAGTACAACAGAACTACAAAATTTCATATAATTAACATTTTTAGGCTTCATGAAGACTCTTGGTATTTTTGTAAGAGTTTACAAATGCATGACAGTAACAATAAACCTGAATACAGCACCCCAGCAAAAGTCCAAAAAGAACTTTGCACTGTTTAATTGTCCACAGATTAAAGGATAGAAAAATTCCTAGCAAAATAGGTACACAAAATTAAGGATAACAATGAATAGGGATATTGTCCTGAAGTAAAAAGTAGGCTCCTATTACTGAATATGTATTATTTACAATTAATTAAAAGCATGCAAGAAGAAATTACTTAGTTTAATGGGTGTACATATACATTTAAGAAAGGTCAGATCATACTAATCTCATTAATGCTGAATATTATTGAAAATTTTTTACTGCAGACCTGTTTAGGGAACTGAAGATTACCTTCTGCGAATGTAACTTCTTACAGGTAGACTGTAGTACTGTCAGTACTATGGATACGACAGTACAGATACACTTTTCATTTGTAATCTCATCTACACAACAGACTGGATTATCTAAGAAGCCATGAGTGATGTCCAAGTTCCTGAGCTCCAAAAATGTGTGCAGAATTGAGCCTTTCGGGTTTCTCACACTTTGCTGTCGGCTTAGCAGCCTGCCACAGAGCCGTTCTCAAGGCTTAACTGCATGCTACAGCTCACAGCAAGATTGTCATGCAGTTAGTAAGCTACTGGGAAGCTGGAGAGCTAGAAAGCACATTTTGTGCAAGATATTCCAGAAATGGGGACATTTTTAGTGTTTTCCAAACAAATGCCGCCATCTGGTGTTCAGGCATATGGCTTGAATAGGCCTTGGGAAAGGAAGTAAGCAGGGAATGGACAAAAATAAGTCACCATTGCCATGCCATGCCATTTTCCTGAGGGAATTCAGTAAGAATCTAACTTGCTTAGTAAGACTAAGAGCAATAACAGAAGACTTCTGAAGTCAAAAACTTCTTAGTCAGYTTTTTCTGGGATTCTCTAATTTCTTGTTGATCAAGTATGACACATAGCAGTCTCYGACACCCATGAGTGTAATGATTATTAGCAGCAACATTCATACTGATCATCTTTGAAGACAAATCACTCTTCGTATATGAACACTTCATATGAACATTAAAGACCTGGTGTCTCTAAAATTTACTTCCTCATTGGGCAGAACTCAATATCCAGTAAATTCAAGGGTGATCGAAAGAGCAACAGTCAGTTCTAAGAGTTAAAAAAAGAGGTGATTTTATGAATCTCTAGCCAGAGAAAACAATTCACTTCTCTACAATTTTCCTCTTCCATTAAGGTAATCTTAGCCTAAAGTTGTTCATGATCTACAACTAAACCATGACATGGAAGTGACAATGAATAATCACAGACTACTATTTATTTGTTTTGACTTCATACATAGTTTATATATAAACTTGAAGACCACCATTTACTGAGGTATCAACCTCCTCTTATCTCGCCAATTCAATTTTCCATTTCCACACACATATATATATATAAATGTAAATTTTAAACAAAAATTTAGGATAAAAATGTCCTCTAAAATGATGGTGCTTTTCATTGACATGAAATTTGATTTCTGGCTGCATCTAGCTGTACAACTTGATTGCACAAAGGGTGTAGCTCCCACACTTCTAATTGGGAAGTGTAGAATCATAGAATCATTTGGATTGAAAGGGATTTTTTAAAGGTCATTTAGTACAATCCTCCTACAATTAGCAGGGACATCTTCAACTAGATAAGGCTGCTCAGAGCCCAGTACAGCTTGGCCTTGAACATTTCCAGGGATGGGGCATCTACCACCTACCCCTCTGGCCACATAGCAGGTAGGAAGTTTATGCTTAAATAATGCATAAAGGACAATAACATACATTAGATGGGTTAAATTCATACTGATAAAAGTGAAGCATATGCATTAAAACCTAACAGGCTAAATGTAAGACAGCAATTTCAATTTTTTTTTTACCAACATGTGTTTTATATAACAATCCTGGCAGTACTGAACATATGGTAGCATCTGGGAAAAGATTTTGTCCCAAGTTTGTCTATTTAAGGCATGATCAAAAGGAAACATAACACCCTGCTGCAGACATGAATTTCTGAACTATCCTCACAACAGTAAGGATTGAAATGAGACAACTAATTGAACTCACCCACCTCCAATCCTATAACCAACTTCCCAACATTAAAGTCTTTAATAAACAATCTTTACCAGGGTCTTGAGGAACTCCAGCAGCTCTCCGTGGTCTGTAGAAGAAAGTCTGAGAGAACTAAAATTGCAGTTATTTAGCCACTGTATGCAGTCAGTTGTGCTGTGTAGTACTTCATCAGCACATGTTTCATTTATGTCAGATTGCAGGTCTTTAAGACACTTTTCTATGCTAAGAAAAAAAAAAAAAGAAAAGAGAAATCACAGGATTTTTCTTCAATGGAGACAAAAGCATTTTATATATTCCTTATTTTTAAGAAAACTACTTAAAATTAAAGCAACACTAGTCATTTTTATTCTTATATTAAGCTACCCTCACAAAYTGAGACTTAAATTTGCAGAATTAACAATTAACATTTAAATACAGTTGAGCTAGAGCTAAAAAAAAAAAATTCCTTCAGGCCAGAATGTACCGTCCTCAGCAAGAGTATGTACAGCTTCACTTTCAAACAATCTTGTTCATTTTATTARAGTAGTTAATGAATATGACATTATCCAACCTAAGATCTGGTCCTTGGTGCRTAATTACCTAAAGCAGAGACTATAAACTGAATCAACAACTGTATTCAAAGGTGAATGTGTCATTTTGTTCCTTTAGCAATCAGCAGTTGTTTTATAAAATATAAGATATATTAATAACTACTTTAAGACCCACTAGAATCACAGAAAATGTTGAAAAGGATTTTAGAGCTAGTTGTGCTGAGAAAGCAGATCTTATCTTTCTTATTTTGTCATTAGAATATTTGAAAGAGAACAGTTTGTTTTAAAGGGGTTGATCCACTCCTCACCATTCATCTAGAATCATAACCCTTTTTATGAAACCAGATGAGTCTATAAGTTATTACAATAATTTCAGTTGCAAAGATCAAAAGAACAACATCCAGAATTATTTTATTTCTATTTGTGTAAAACTTAGGTAAAAACAAAGCAAAACCAAAAAATCCCAAACTATCTATATATTTTCCTACGAAAACACATGTTCAGTATTTTATAGCTATATCTTTTTTCAAAAGCAATGCTTAATATTTTACAAGTTTCATTTAGGAAATTAGTATTTAGAACCAGGTTAATTACCCAGCCATGAATTCCAGTTCTAAACTTCACAAAAGATTCRGAAATATTTTTTTAGCTTGTGAAACCTGTTGCCAGGACTATGAAACTAAATGCCTTCTTCATACACCTTGGCTCTTGGGACACTATCAAAGGCTTTTATTGTGGAGTGCTGATGTGTCCCAAACATACCCAAATACATTACAGCATTATGCAATACAAATGACACTACTGTTAAATTTGTGCCAATCTGCTGCAACTATGAGTGAATTTTTACACTCATCTTTCACATATATATCTGTGTGCAAGATAAAAACTACCAGCTATGAATAAGTTACAACCTTCTCAAGACCAGACATTTTTGTAATTGGTCCCACTACTGATAAGGGGATTAAATGGATCGATTTCTGTGCCACTCCCCTGCCCCTTACCTCCCCCAGAAGTATAAATCACTATAAATGTTAGTTTTATTTAAACCTTTTATCTGCCCAAAATAAATATTTAATTAGGACTAAAGTTATTTTTGATTGAATAAACATATTTTCATCCTCTTTATTTACAGCATACAGAATACTGTAGGCAAACAAGGTCTAAAAAACCACCGCCACATGTTATTAAGATTTTTATCAGCACTCAGTAATACAAGAACATGGTTAATTATAGTTATTTACTCCTTTACTTGAATTAAATATTCAGAAATTTGATTACCTCTCAAAAAAAAAGTGTATTATCTGAGTTTAGAAAGCATGCATTTTAAACAAAAGACTTCTGCTAAATATGATTATAATTATTCTCACTACCTAGGCTGGTATTAAAAATGTTGTCATTTCATATCAGTGTAGGGAGAATGAGACTTAAGATTTCCTGGTTTAAAAAAGAAATTTATTGAAGTTTCAGAAACTAGGAAAAAGAATGTAATTTTGATGTGAAAAAATATTCTTAATGTATTTAATTAATTCTGTTCTTAGAAGTATATTTTTTTTAAAAGCCATATAAAATGCTTTTTTAAAAAGCATAATTTTTTTAAAAGCCATATAAAATTCGTTTTTTCCCAATTTCTTCATGAAGTACAAATGTATGTTTTTTTTAAATTTGGAACAGTAAATTAGCTCTTTTTTTGAATACACTGAGGCATTAATTGAGATTATGTCAAGTGACATCGTATGCACACTATGRAAGCGCAAATTTAACTGCCCTCATTTAATTTTTCATGCACAGATGATTCAACTTTTTTTTGGAACCTGTGGAACTATTCAGACACAAACACAAAAACAACTAGTCACCAAACTACTAAGCAATGAGTGGAGTATAAAAGCTCAAAGGAAAAAAAAAAAAACTTTTCTCTACAGAAAAGTGTCATAGTTTGGAATGCTGGCCAAATGCCAGACACTCACAAACCTGTTCACTCTCTCTCCTGCACCACCACTGGGCAGAGAAGAGCAAAGGATTAACAAAAGGGCTCATGAGTTGAGATAAGGAACAGGGAAGCAACACTTGATGGATAAAACAAGCTCCATTTAAGTTATGAAGTGAATTTATTACTAACAAAGTCAGAGGAGGAGAATGAGAATTAAAATAAAACCCTCAAAGACATCGATCTTCTCTCCACTCCCTCTCCAATTCCCACTGATGGTGCAGGGAGGGGAGAACAGGGTGTGGGGTTGGTCAGTTCAGGGTGTGGGGTTGGTCAGTTCATCACCGGATCGATCTGTGGCTGCTGAGGGAGAAGAGTCCTTCCCTTGCATTGC